TCAACCCATCATCCTGATCATTTTACTTGTATGAGGAGGGGTATACACACTTCAGAGTCGTGACCTTGAGGAGTATATTTAGGTAAGAAAGCACTGTCTAGAGAGGAAGGGCAATCTTGACTGAGTCTTTATGTTGGGTGAGAGGTCAGTATGGAAGGATTTCGGAGAATAAGGGGGTAAGCAGGAGTATGCGACCGGGAGAAAGAGAAAGAATGTGAACGGGGCTCGGGACAGTAGGGGGGGGGGGGGGGGATGCAGCGGCGCGTGGGGAAGCTGGCGCACTGCCCTCTAGCGGGTCCGCGCCTCCTCGCCCGGGGGAGCGCGCGTCTTCTCGCCCGCAGCTGGCGATGTTCGCGCTGCAGCTCGGCGTCCTGGCCACCTTTCTGTCCGAGCCTGTGGTCAAGGCGCTGACCAGCGGGGCCGCGATGCACGTGCTCGTGTCCCAGCTGCCGAGCCTCTTGGGGTTGTCCCTCCCCCGCCAGATCGGCTGCTTCTCTCTCTTCAAGGTGGGGATGGGAGATCAGCGGAGGTTTCCAGCGGTCGCGGGGAAGAGAGAAACACGAAAGGGTGGAGGGTGGCACGTGCTGGGGGCGAGGGGAAGGAGGTGGCACCCCCGTCGGCAGCGGGAACAGAGGGCCTCTCCTGGGTCGGGTGGGTCCTTGCCGGGACGGTCACCCTGGCTGGGGTCCTCGCTCACCGCCCTGCCCGCAGACGCTGGCCGCCGTGCTGATGGCGCTGCCCCGGAGCAGTCCGGCCGAACTGATCATCTCAGCGCTCAGCCTGGCGCTGCTGGTGCCGGTGAAGGAATTGAACGTGAGGTTCCGAGACAGGCTGCCCACCCCGATCCCAGGGGAAGTCGTCATGGTGAGGACGGCCCCGGGGCCGGCTCCCCGCCCCGCACAGATCCCGCCCGTGCTGCGGCCGCCTCCTTGCGGAACGCGGAGAGGTCACGGGCCAGAGGTCATGCTCACATGTGTACTTTCCCAGGCCGCCTCCCCGGACACCTCGACCCTGCAGAATCCCCTCCCCACGCCGTCCCACCTCTCACCGCGTCCTCTCCAGACCTCGTAGGACACCTTCTTCCTGGCCACAGCGGCCCCTTGCGGTCGCGCCGGGCACAGCACTCCCCCACGACCCTTTTCTGCAATTCCTGGCCTGTCTTCCTTCCCAGGAAGACGGCTTTCTCCCTCGCTGCGACAAAGTCAACGTCCCAGGTCTCCACAGCCAGCTTCCCTACTCAAGATGGCTCAGTTGACCCTGTTGGTAGCCACGACCCCTACAGGAGCCCCTTCATATCCTCTGGCCCATCTCTCCCTGGGCCTTTCCCAGACCCCCCTCAGCTGTAATTCAGCAGTGCATTGCCCTCCCATCTACACCCCGGCTTCCTGAGTGGCCAAGGGGCTCTTGGACCACTGGTCCTGCATCCTGATCCTGTAATGCTCATGCCTGGTAGTTTCTGCCTAGGGTCCCATCTCTCCCCAGGCCCTAATTGGCTCTCTGAACCAGGTGCTTCTGGCCACCGTGCTCTGTTTCACCTCCTCCCTGGACACAAGATACAACGTTCAGATAGTGGGGCTGCTGCCCCAAGGGTGAGAGACCGGCTTTCTCTCCTCTCACCCCATCTCTCCTGTCCTGCCTTATCCCCCCCCCTTGCCTTCCCTATCTCCCTGCAGCACCCAACCCATCCTCACCATGTCTCCCTCCTTGTCCAGATTTCCCCAGCCCCACTTCCCCAACCTGGCTGAGCTGCCCAGGACTCTGGCCAACTCGCTGCCCATTGCACTGGTTACTTTTGCCGTGTCCGCCTCCCTGGCCTCCATCTACGCAGACAAGTATTGCTACACCATTGACTCCAACCAGGTGTGACTTTGTGGACCCTGACCTTGTTTAGGAGTCCCCCACCCCCGCCATGCCTCCCTCTTCACCTCATGGCACCCTTCCAGGAGCTCTTGGCGCACGGTGTTTCCAACCTCATTTCCTCCCTCTTCTCTTGCTTCCCCAACTCGGCCACACTGGCCACGACCAGCCTTCACGTGGATGCTGGTGGGAATACACAGGTAAGACATAAGACGGCATGCCTGGGTGAGGTGAGGGGAAAGAGTGGGGCCTCCAGGCCAGGGTGGCAGTGGTACGGAAGCAGGTGGGCAATTGGCGGCACCTCTCCAGAGGCAATCCGGGAGGGTGTGGTTGTACACAGGGGAGTTGCAAGGAAACAGGGTTTCAGCCAGACCTTGGTGGGCTCTGAGTATCGACAAAGTTGATGGTGCCCCAGGTGCAGTTCAAAATAAAAATACCAAGCTGTCTAAGGAACTTGAGACGGAATCCGGTTTTTTTTTCCTCCCATGAGGATGTTTTCTTTTAAGATATACCACATATCAAAGTCTCCCCCCTAATACTTTTTGTTCCCTTTACTTTGTGGGTCCCTGAGCATGTGGTCAGCCTGCTTACAGGGTAACCCAGCCATGGCGAGTGGTTGGAGGTGGGCTATAGAAATAGGGAACCTGAACCTCATGCAGTGGGGACAAATGATAGGTGTTTAACTGGGGGGAGGGCAGGTGAGTGGCAGACTGTCATGAAGAGGGTGGAGGAGTGAAATAGCTGTCCGGGAGGAAGATGAGGCAGGGCAGGCAGGGAGATGGCCTCTCATGGTGGTGGGGGGTGGGGGGTAGGCTCCCTGCCTCCTCCGCTTCCACCCCCTTCCCTCCAGCTGGCAGGCCTCTTCTCCTGCACAGTGGTCCTGTCCGTGCTGCTGTGGCTCGGGCCCTTCTTCTACTACCTGCCCAAGGTAAGGAGCAGAGGAGGCATGGGCCTGGCTGGGACAGGTGGCTGGCTGGATTGCAGGTCACCAGGGTAGTCAGCCCACCTCCTGTGCCCCAAGGCTGTCCTGGCTTGCATCAACATCTCCAGCATGCGCCAGATGTTCTTCCAGATGCACGAACTGCCCCAACTCTGGCGCATCAGCCGTGTGGACTTTGTGAGAAATGGCATGGCCCCTCCCATCCCTCCAGCATCCCTAGCCTCTGCCCTGGACCCAAGCTCACAGGGTCTTACCCTCTGCAACCACTCACCTCCAGTACATGTATCTCCTAAGACCCTCACTCGGACACAAGGCAAAGCCTGGGGTGTGAGCTGCTCGCACCTGTGTGTTTGTAATCTCCCAGCTGGCACAAGGTCTGGGGCCTTTGCGTTTGGCATGCATCCCGCTGGGTGGCTCCTGTCCCTCCCCGCTTTCTCCTGGAACCACCCCTCCCCTCCACTCGCCCTGGCGGCCACCGGCCACCACAGCCCACCCCCGTCCATGTCCTGCAGGCTGTGTGGATGGTCACGTGGGTGGCTGTGGTGACCCTGAGCGTGGAGCTGGGTCTGGCCGTGGGTGTGGTCTTCTCCATGATGACCGTGGTCTGCCGTACGCAGAGGTGGGCAGAGAGATGAGCGGAGTGGAGGGCAGAGGACAGGGTGCTGGGTGGGGCTAGACGGGCATCTGACCCCAGCTGCCTCCTAGGGTGCAGTGCCTGGCACTGGGACACGCTGCGGGGACCGAGCTCTACAGGCCGCTCAGAGACAGCCACGAGGTGGGTGGGCTCCCACCACAGACGGAAGAGAAGATTGGACCCAGATGCTTCCGTGACCCTGTGACCCCTTAGCTCCTGCAGGTGCCTGGGCTCTGCATCCTGAGCTGCCCAATGCCTCTCTACTTTGGGACCCGCGGGCAGTTCCGTCGCAGCCTAGAGTGTCACCTGGGGCTTGCAGAAAAAGGCCAGGTGAAGGCCCTGGGCATAGCAGTGTGGCCCATGAAGCAGTGGGGGGAGGGGGCTGGGGCTCAAGGGACACACGCTCATGCTTGCGTCTTGGGGGTGGTGACCACCCCTCTATGCTCATAGGACACTCCAAAGCCGGAAGGCCCACCTGACACAGGTGAGACAGCAGGGCCAAGGGGGCAGATCTGGGTCTGACCCACGGAGGCATCTGGGTTCCCCAACCCTCTCCTCCCCTAGTTGCTGAGCCTGTCAGAGTGGTGATCCTAGACTTCAGTGGAGTGACCTTTGCAGATGCTGCTGGGGCCAGGGAGGTGGCACAGGTGAGGGAGAAGGCAGGGGGAGGAGAAAGCCCCTCTCACCATCCCACCCCCACCCTCCGACCAGGCCCTATCCCTCCTGTCTTGCTCCCACAGCTAGCCCGCCGATGCCAAGACGCTGGGATCCATCTCCTGCTGGCTCAGTGTAATGGTAAGTGGTGTGCAGGGCGGGGCTCAGAGACCAGGGAATGACTTGGCACTTGGGGGAGGGAAGATGACATAGTGTGGACTCAAGGCCTTACAGCACGACACCTCCCTACACAGCCTCAGTGCTGGGGACACTGACCCGGGCAGGCCTCCTGGACACAGTGACCCCAGAGCAGCTGTTTGTCAGTGTCCAGGATGCAGCTGCTCATGCCTTGGAGAGACTGGTAAGGGGGCAGGGACACGAGGAGGGGTCCAGGGGGCGCTGGGCAAGGGCAAGTGAGGGTGGGGTGCGGGACTGAAGATCCAGGGGGTGGGATCTGGGAAGGGCACTGATAGCAGATCAAGGAGGAAGGGGTGGGCAGCCAATGACCAGTGGACCTAAGAGCAAGCCAGGGAGCCAGGGTCATGCTGCAGGTGAAGAAGCTGAGGTCCCCAAGGGGGTGGTGTGTCCTCAGAAGGAGGGAGGGAGGGAGGCACCGGACCTACACTCGGCCCGTCCCCTGTTTTCTGCAGGAGCTCACTGGCCCCAAGATTTGCACAGTGTGGCTCTGATGGTCCCCAGGGTGCAGAGGGCCCCGTCTGTGGGTGAGAAGGCCGTGGCTGGCCCATGAGTCCCCTTGCTTAGTGTGATGAATAAAATGAAGTTGCGTGCCTCTGGGGTCCCTGAAGTGAGTCTCGGTGTCTGCACAGGGACCCCTGCTGCCCCTTCCTCCATGCCCACAGCATCGCAGAGACACAACTAGAAATGGCTTTCACTGTGTGTTCACCAGTCCCCAGCCAGCTCCCGAGTCACAGTTCCCTCCATGGGGGTGGGCTGGAGCCGGTGCACAAGGTCCTGGATCCGGAGCGGGATGGGGGGCACAGCCCTGGGGTTGCGTGGTGGGGAGCTTCCCCACCCCTTGGTCCTAAGGGGATGAGGGGAGTGGCTCCCCTTTGGGTTCGTAGAGTCCCCATGGGCTCTTTGGCACTTGGAAAGTGACCCCCTGTTTCCTGCCCCTTAAGAACGGGGGAGGGGGAGGACTTGGCACTGGCTGTGGGAGAGGTTATGGCTCCATCAGGCCCTTAGGCACCCCCAGAAAGGAGGGGTGTCACCAGGACATGACCCTCTCTGAGATCAGGTTCTAAAAGGGAGATGCGAGGGACTAGGGGGTCAGGGACAGTCAACGGTGGGGAGGGGTTGCCGGCATTCCTGGCAGTTCCAGGAGGGCCGTCATTCCGAGGTCATACATTGCAGCCGGTGTTTGAAGAAGAGCAGACGGTGCTTGGCCACCTGGCTTCCGTCCAGCGACCCCGGGTAGCGGTAGCGGGCGTAAGTCTCTGCCCTGGAGTCCCTTGATGTCCAGGGCAGCTTCAGCTTGGAAGCGTGGTCCACAACGACATCAGAGCAGGAGCCAACCCGAAGGGAGCCAAGTCCATCTAGGAAGAATTCTGGGGGAGAAGGGCCGGGGAGTTCACAGTAAAAATCCGAGAGGCCAGCAGATTGGTCCCGCAAGAGAGTGCTGAAATTTAGGTTGTAGAGGTGTGGGCATGCAGAGCAGCCTCTCTGGCTCTCGACAGCCTTGTGCTTTGGACACGGGAAAAAGGCTACTCCCCACTTCCAGAGGGTTGATCAAGCCCTGGTGGGCTGCTCCCAGTGGAAATTGGCTAGGAGTGGACCAGGGGTGGCTGTGACTGGGCCTAGGAAGTTCAAGGTGTGTGGGGCCGGGAGAGAGGGGGAGCTCAGGCGCTCACCAGGTGCAGGCCTCAGCCAGTGTGTGCAGAACCCCTCAGGCGGATCCTTGGCCTGCCCCGCGCCCCGCCCAGCGCCCACCGCGGGGGTTCTTGCGGGACCCAGCCATGAGGGGGCGCCACTCACCCAGGTGCGCCACTCGGCTAAAGCGCGGGTCGAAGCCGACCTCACGCACCTTATCGGTGCGCGCCAGGAAGAAGTTTACAACGCCATCGGTGACCACGCAGCCCGGGAAGCCGACGAGCTCGTGGTGGAAGCCGCGCCTTTGGCGGAGGCAGTTCCCGAGGCCTGGGGAGCCGGGCTCCACGCTCAGCAGCTGCCGGTAAGTGGTGGCGAAGCCCGAGATCTCGCGCACCGCGCCGCCCACCTGCGGGGAGTCCAAAGGGACGGCTCCAGGCGGGGCCGGGACCCCGACGGGGCAGGTCTGTGCGCCCTTTCCCCTCGCGTGCCGCCCCCCCCATCCTCTTCCGCTTCCTCCGTGCAGGACTCCGGCAGTCCCCCCATTTGGCCGTCCCCTCCATCCTGTGCTCGGCCTCTGCCACCCAGCCTTGCCCCGACGTTCCCCTACCAGGTCCAGAGGCGTCCTCTCCAGCACGTCCACGAGCCTCTCCAGACGCGTCCGAGCTGTGAAGACGAAGTCGTCGTCCACCCACAGCACGTACTTGGTGGTTACTTGGGACACTGCCAGGTTCCGGCCTGCGAACCAGCCCTGGGCGGGGAGAGAGTGCAGAGGGGAGTCTGTAGAGACAGGACAAGCCCCTCCGCCACCAGTCACCTCTCAACGGCTCCTCCACAGGTGGAATGCTTTCGAATGGCCCCGAGCTAGTTGAAAAATGCAGATTCTAACATCCCCCCTCCCGGGATTCCCAGTCAGTGTTCCAGAAGGCATTTGGTGCGTGCATTCCTTCAGCTCTTTTATAGAGCGCCCAGGGGGTGCGCCGCCACGCCCTTTCTAAGAACGCAGCGCGAATATAGGCGCGATTCCTGCTCCCAGGGAGCTTCCACTCCTTCCACTCCAGGAATCCTCACAATCGGCAGGCACCCCCGCCTCTCCGAGGTCAGAGTCACTGCCCCGGAAGAAGCCGGTGGCGGGAACGCCCCCTCCCCCCAGTCCTCAGGCGGCCGTGCTGGCTGCCGCACCTTTCCAAAGGGCATGAGATAGTGTTCCACGTGGGGGCCGCTGACGCGCTCCGGCTTGTCGCTGTCGTCCGCGATGACCACGGTGACGGTGGGGTAGAAGCGGCGGATGCTGGCGATGAGCGCGCGCAGCCGGTCATAACGAAGGAAGGTCTTGGTGGCAATGGTGACCAGAGCGCTGATGTTGTACTGGGCTGGAGCAAGGGTGCAGGGTTGGGTGCAAGCAGGGAGAGTGGGGAGAGAGGAGCAGAGAGATGTCCGCTCCCAGGGCGGCTCCCCACCAGGGCTGGATCCACTGAGTCCCTGCCTCACCTCCGTGGGGTAGAGAGCCCGGTGGGTACAGCCGAGGGTTGGGAGGGTGTCGTATACGGATGGTGAAAGCAGCCTCATGTCCCTCGGTGGAGAAGCGAACTGGAAGAAAGGACAGGGGACTCGGCTCCAGGGGCTGGGACCTCATTCTCTTTCCAGTGGATCAATATCTGTGTGCCTGCTCTGGGTGCCACCTTTGGGGGCCTCCATGGTCAAGAATGCAAGGTTCTCAGGCCCATGGAGCTTACATTACACTCAGATGGGTGGGGACAAGACAATAAACCATCTTTAGTGAAAAGTTAACCATTACTGAGAATTAGCTATGTGTCAGACACTGTAAAATCGACCTTAAATACATGAATTCATTTAATCCCTACGATAGCTCTCTTACGAAGGTTCCTACTACAGCTATGAAACTGAGGTAGAGAGAAGTAAGTCATCCACTTAAATTGACACAATTTAGCCACAAAGCTGATAAGAATCTAAATAATCTAGTGCCAGGTTAAGTAAATAAAGAAATTCAGATGCTGGTAAGTGTTGGGTAGAAAAAAAAACAAGAGATAGAATGGTAAAGAGGACAGCTGAGATTTAACCGACAAGAAGGTGGGGCCAGCGTTGTGGGGTAAGGGTAAAGCTGCCACCTGTGACTCTGGCATCCCAATGGGCGCTGGTTCAAGACCTGGCTGCCCTACTTCTGATCCAGTTCCCCGCTAATGCTCCTGGGAAGGTAGTAGAAGATGGCTCAAGTGTTTGGATCCCTGCACCCATGTGAGACCAAGCCAAAGCTCCTGGCAAAGCCCCAGCTATTGTAGCCATTTGGGGGAGTGAACCAGCGGATGAAAGATCTCTGTCTCTCCCTCTCTCTCTCTCTTTGTAACTCTGCCTTTCAAATGAAGAGAATAAATCTTAAAAAAAAAAAAAAAATTGACAAGAAGGAGCCAGCCATGCAGAAACCTGGGGGAAGATCATTGCAGGTGGAGGAGTAAACCAAATGCAGATGCCAAGCTTTGGAGAGGAATGGAGAGGGGGGTTACTCACTCCTGCCTGAGGAGAAATGGGGGCTCCAGGAGGCAAAGACCTTTGGCCTCCAGTAAGCGGTGGGCTGGGGAAAGAGGCTCCTGGGCCAGGTCACTTCTCAGGGCCCCCATAGTCGGCCAGACACACCCAAGGCTCAGATTTCCCTCTTGCGTGCACCAGCCCCAGATGAACAAAGGCCCCTTCTCTCTGTCCCTGGCCCTGCTGGCCCAGCTGAAATGCCCATTGTGTGGCTGGGAAGCTCTGGTCACTGCCCAGCTGCCTCCCACACTGCCTTTGCTCACTGCAGCCTTTCTGGCTCCTTTTTGGTTTGCTGCCCCCACCTCCACCTGGGTCTCACACCTGTGTCTGCCGTGTTGGCCTGGTAGCTCCGGCTGCTGTAAGTCACCAGTTGCAGCTGCCGGTTGAGTTGGTCCAGCCCTGGGCTGGCAAGGGTGAGATCTGACTGCCCCTCTCCACTGAGAGTCACTCCGATCACTTCCCCAGCCACATCCCAGGTGCCTAGGGAGGCAGTCAGGTTCACCTGGGAGACGGGATTGGTGAGTGAAGGGTCAGGCTTCAGGCACTCTGGCCTCCCCAATCCCTCAGTCCCTCCTTTAGTGGCCTGTCTCCCTCCCAGCATCCCCAGAGCCCACCTGGTCTCCTCCCCATTCTCTTCTCTCACCTGGTATACTTCCTGGGCAGAAGCTGCCTGCAGGCTCAGCCCTGGGAGAAGGAGCTGGGATCAGAATCACACTGACAGCCCCGAATTCCCTTTCCCTATACACAACAGCAGGTGCATTGCATAGCAGCCTAGAGTAACTCAGTTTGGACTCCTTCAGTACCTCTCCTATGGCCTGCCCTACCCACCCACCTAATGTTTAGTCAGTCTGCAAAGAAGAGCCCTCTCCTCTCAGCTGCCATCTTCTGCCGTTCCTGACACCGCCGAAGTTCCTCTCGCCTCACCTCCCACCTACTAATCCTCCTTGCACCTGCAGTTCTCTCCTCCCATCGATGGGTTGTCCCCACCCACCCCCAGCTGGGGCCTAGGTCACCCTCCAGGACTCTCCTCCTCACCTGGCACCAAGATGCTCCGCAGGGGCTGGACCTCCACGCCCTGGAGGGGGTACTGGAGTGGGGAGTTAGCAGGGGCTATAATTAGCTGGTCAGCTGGGGACCGGCTCCTGGAAGGGAAGGAGGGGGAGGGCAGAGGGGGGTCCTCTCCTGGCTCAATCCCCCCACCCCCCAAGCCTCCCATGCTCTCCCCTTGCGCATCCAAGCCCCTCTTTCTTGCTAGTACCTTGAAAGAAAGGCCTGGTACTCCTGCTCCCTTGCAGCAGAGACAGCCCTCAGCTCCTCGGGGTCAAAGGCCTTGGTGAGGTCAATGGCGCTGACCTGCTTCTGGAAGGGGAGGGGCAAGCTCCCTCCACTGGACTCACAAGTGCAGCTGTTCTGAGCCAGCAGCCTGAACGGAGAGTGGGTGCTCAGAGTCCCCTACCTGCAACTCTGTCCCCGTTCAGCAGTTGCTCTTGAACTAGTTCCTAGGAGGCACCAGACCCGGGGTGGGAAGAATCCACCAGGGCCAGTTCTTGAGATTTCAAGAGCTGCCTGCCTCCTCACTCTCTGGACCCTCTCTCGTGCCTGAAGCAGGGAATCAGGGAGACTTAAGGGCCCGCCCGTGACTGCACACCCTCCCATTGGCATCACCATGATGGGCCTGGGCAGGGCAGCGTTGTCCCAGCCCCAGCCTCAGCAGCCTCGTCCTCCCCCGTGCCTCCACACCCCGGGCAGGAGAGCGCCGGCAGCAGAGCCCCACGCTGCAGGAAACAAAAGCCCGGGGCCGCCCCGCAGCCAGCGCTGCGCTGCACTCACCCGACCACTTGCTCTTTGATCCTGACCGGGATGTGCGCGTAGCGGGGCTCAGGGGCGAGGTCTGGCAGCTCCGGCCGGGGGACGCCCTGCGGGGGCGCCCACAGTGCCAGAGGTGCCCGGAGGCCCGGCGCGTTCCGGGTGCTCGCGTACAGGAGCCCCAGCGAGGCGCAGGCGAGCAGCAGGGCCAGCGCGCAGAGGGCCCGGCGGCCCGGCCGCATCCTGGGGTGGGGGTAGGGTGGGGGGTGAGAGAGGTGTCGGGGCGGGTGGCGGGCGGGGGCCGGGCCCTTGACCGCGGCGACCTGGGAGGCTTCTGCCGGCTCCCGAGGGCGCTCTCGGCTCCACGCCTCACGCCAGGCTATGCACCGCGAATCGCCTTCCCGCTACCCCTCCCCGCGTCTCCCCGGCCCCCGGGGTCTCCCGGCCTCCTTTCTTCTCTTCAGCTCCTGCATCTCGGTTTCCTCTCACAGCGGAGGCCGGGCATCTTGACGCGAGAGACACGATCGTGCTTAGGCAGAGAAACACCGCTGTAGGAGAGCCACGGATGTCCCCAAGCCCGCGCCCACCCTGGCCGGCAGCGCCCCCTCCCCAGTCCAAGCATCACCTGGGCTGGGTGGGCTGCAGAGGGCGGCTCCACACCTTGCCTGTCAGGAAAAATCACACCCGCACCAGGGGGTGCCCCCGGCGGAGGTGACCCCGCGGGTGGCCTCGGAAGCAGCGTCGGGCACCGGGAGGACCCGCTCCCGCTCCCGCCTCCGCCTCAGCCCCTCATCCCGCCCGGCTACTGACCTGTCTATCGCTCCAAGGCCGCGGCGAGATTTCGGTCCGGGCTGCGCCGGGCTCTCAGCCCCGGCCTGGGTGGCCTCATGGGGCTGGGGGCGGCCTGATGGGGGAGGTGACCGTGAGCCTGATAGTGCGGGGGCTCCTCCCGCCTCCGGAGCGCGCCGACGCCTCCCGCCTTCGCACTCGTGGGGCTTTGTAGACCTCGGCCCCCCGGTGGGGAGTGGGGGCTGGACGTTTCCTGCCCGGGGAAGCCGAGTCGAGAAACTGCAGCACCCCGGCCGCAGAACAAAGCCGGTGATTCCTGGCACACAGTCCCACTGGCGGGGCGAGAGGGCTCAGGCCGCCGCCCCGCTCTCGGTACCGCAGCGCCGCGCGGCTCGGCTCCCGGCGCTGCGCTGGGAATGCGAGCGCCCGGGCGCCTTCTGGTGGGCGCGGCGGAGATCGTCGGGGCGCGAGGCGGCGCGGGAAATTCCTCCCCGCCCCCCAAGTCCCATCCCTTTGCCCCCAGACCTTGGCATCTCAACTCCCTAGCCCCTGTGCCAGTCCGCGAGCAGCTCCGCGGGGGTTAGGAGATCTGAGCTGCCTTCACTCACGTGGCGTGAGGCTGATGCAGGCTTATTGGCTGAGCCTCTGGCTTCCTTCCTCAGAGCGGCTAACCTGGACTTTGGAATATAGCTACCTCAGGCCAGGCCCTTCAAGGCTTTGCGTGTTCTTCTCATGGCGGCATTTCTCGTCTATCTCTATCTCTATCTCTATCTCTATCTCTATCTCTATCTCTATCTCTGTCTCTCTCTCTCTCTCTCTCTCTCTCTCTCTCTCTCTCTCTAATTTATATCTATATCATCGATATGTCAAAGCAAGTCACCAGGCTAACCCAGATTCAGGGCATGGTTAAGTTTACCTCCTGATGGATATGGGTGCAAAAAATTGGGGGCCATTTTAATTTTTCAAAATGTTTATTTATTCAAAAGGTAGAGTAACAGAGAGGGAAGAGAGAAGAGAGAAGAGAGAAGAGAGAGAGAGAGAGAGAGAATCTTGTTTGCTGGTGATTCATTCGTCAAATGCCAGTAAAAGTCAGAGCTGGGCCAGGCCAAGCCAAGAGCCTGGAACTCCTTGCTAATTTCCCGCATGGGTGGCAGGGCTCCAATTACTTGAGCTATAACCTCTGTCTCTCAGGTTCTGCATTAGCAGGAAACTGGAATCAGGAGCCAGAGTATCGAACCCAGGCATTTAGTTATGGGACATGGATGTGGTAACCACTATGCCAAATGCCCACGCTGTGGCCATTTTTGATCCTCCATTATCACCAATGAGCAAATCTCTTCTTAAAAAAAGATTTATTTATTTATCTGAAAGGTGGAATTACAGAGAGAGATGGAAAGAAAGAGAGAAATCTTCTATTTGTTGGTTCACTCCCCAAATGACCTCAATGGCTAGGGCTGGGTCAGCCTGAAGCCAGAACTCCATGCAGGTCTCCTATGTGGGTGGCAGGGGCCCAAGCACATGGTCCATCTTCTGTTTCCCTTCGAGGCATTTTAGCAGGGAGCTGTATTGGAAGTGGAGCAACCAGGACTTGAGCTGGTGCCCATAGGGAATACCGCTGTGCCACAACACTGGCCCCAGCTCCCAAAGCTTTCAGTTGTTTAAATGGATACTTTCAGGCTGTGTCAACGTTGCAAGGAAGGATGCTCTGAATGTAGAGTTGTTCTTGTATACAGGAAGGAGCCTAGAAGTAGAGACACCTCAGTAAGGATGAGCAGCAGGCATCCAGATCCCCTAATCTCTTTCTCATTAAAAACCGCGGCTCACTAGGCTAATCCTCCGCCTTCCGGCGCCGGCACACCGGGTTCTAGTCCCGGTTGGGGCGCCGGATTCTGTCCCGGTTGCTCCTCTTCCAGGCCAGCTCTCTGCTGTGGCCAGGGAGTGCAGTGGAGGATGGCCCAGGTGCTTGGGCCCTGCACTCCATGGGAGACCAGGAGAAGCACTTGGCTCCTGCCGTTGGATCAGCGCGGTGCGCTGGCCACGGCGGCCATTGGAGAGTGAACCAACAGCAAAGGAAGACCTTTCTGTCTCTCTCTCCGTGGCCCCCTCGGGCTGGGCGGAAAAAAAAAAAAAAAAAAAAAAGACCAGGGATCTCTGGAAACCTTCCAGGTCCTATCCCAGCATTGAGATAGGAAAAACTGCAGATTAATCTGGAATGTCATAAAGCAAAGATGTTTAGAAAAAATGATGGGAGCATTCCAATAGGACACACACAGGAGCCAGCTTGAAGGGGGTTTTCACTGGCTGAATTTGGCACAGTTTAAGCACCAAAATAGTTCAGCATAGGAGTGAATTATGAACCATTGGAAAATAGGAATCCACAGCCTACATTGGTAATCCATAGATAACCGAATAAATGAATGAAGGAGAAGGAAGAATGCCAGTTGATGAATGTGGAGGGACTTGGTGGAGCTGAAAAATAATTATTCTGCAGTCGTCATGGTAACATTGCTATGAGCAAGAATCATCAATGAGGGAGAAGTTCAAGTAGGAACAGGATGTGTCCATAAAGTGTCTCCCCGCCGTTGGCTTATTAATTGCAGGAGGAAAAAATGTCACTGCAGAGTGGGGAAACCGGACAGCACCTTCGTCAGGTGGTTAATCAACATCAGCCGTGAGAGGCAGAAGGGCATCCTGTGCCACCAGATCTTGTGCGACTCGACTCTAAATATGAAGAAACAGACAACGCCCCCAAGAGAAGATTTATATGTTTTTGTTTATTTTATTTGAGAGCCAGAGAGTGAGAGCAAGAAAGACAGAGAGCTCCTGTCTGCTGATTTGTTCCCCAAATGCCTGCAATGGCCCGGACTGGGCAAGGGCTGAAACCAGGAGTCAGGAACTCAACCTGGGTCTCCCACGTGAATGGCAGGAACCCAATTACTAGAGCCAGTACTTCTGCCTCTCAGGCTTTGCATTGGCAGGAGCCTGGAGTCCGCAGCTAGACCTCAGAATTGAACCCAAGCATTCTGATAGGGCTTGTAGGCATCTTTCAAATTTTTTTATTGTTTGTTTTCATTTTATTTGAAAGGCTGGTAAAGAGTGAAAGATAGATAGAAGATAGATAGATAAGCCGGCGCCGTGGCTCAATAGGCTAATCCTCCACCTTGCGGCGCCGGCACACCGGGTTCTAGTCCCGGTTGGGGCGCCGGATTCTGTCCCGGTTGCCCCTCTTCCAGGCCAGCTCTCTGCTATGGCCAGGGAGTGCAGTGGAGGATGGCCCAGGTGCTTGGGCCCTGCACCCCATGGGAGACCAGGAAAAGCACCTGGATCCTGGCTCCTGCCATCGGATCAGCGCGGTGCGCCGGCTGCAGCGGCGGCCATTGGAGGGTGAACCAACGGCAAAAGGAAGACCTTTCTCTCTGTCTCTCTCTCTCACTGTCCACTCTGCCTGTCAAAAAAAAAAAAAAAAAAAAAAAAAAAAAAAAAAAAAGATAGATAGATAGATAGCTAGCTAGCTAGCTAGCTAGCTAGCTTCTATCTGCTGGTTCACTCTTCAAATGCCTGCCAACAGCTAGGCTTGGCCAAGTTGAAGCTGAGGCTGAAACTCAGTCTGGCTCTCCCACATGGATGATAAGGACCGACAACTTGAGCCATCACCTGCTGCCTCCCGGAGTGTGCATTAGCAGAAAGTTGGAGTAGGAAGCAGAGTCAGGACTCTAACCAGGCACTCCAATATGGGATGAGGGCAGCCCAGGTGGTATCTTAACCACTGGGCCAAACACCTGCCCCAGCACCTGTGCATTTTAGCTGCCAGGCTGAACATTTGCTTCAGCTAGTCAGCATTTTTTTTTTTCAAGATCAGTCATGAAAGACAAAGACTGAAAAACTGATCCGGATTAAAGAAGATAAACCGACATAACAACTAAATGGATCAGAATGGATCCTGTCTTCAAGGGGGAAAGAAATGCTATAATGGACACTTTGGGAACAATTGACAGAATTGGAAAATGGATGACAGAGTAGATAAAAGCTAATGTTTTATCTTTGTTAAAAGATAAGTGGTCATTGGTGGGTGAGACCTCCGTGGAAAGAAGTGATCATTAAAGAAGGATGTACTTTTCTCTGAAGGGGGGAGAGAACTTCCACTTTGCTTATGGCCTTGTCTAAATACTGATGGAGTTTGTGGATTCAAAAGGTTTCCATAGCCTAGGCAGCTCATGTCAAGAGCCTTGGTTGATCACTGTTGTCATACATAATTGCTTTTTTCATACATAATTGTTAAATTAATAAAAGGAGTCACTGTGTACTAACTTCCCATGCAGGACTTCTGTTCTCAATAAGTTGCGTTATAGGGCCGGCGCTGCTGCTCAATAGGCTAATCCTCCGTCTTGTGGCGCTGGCACACTGGGTTCTAGTCCCGGTCGGGGCGCCGGTTGCCCCTCTTCCAGGCCAGCTCTCTGCTGTGGCCAGGGAGTGCAGTGGAGGATGGCCCAAGTGCTTGGGCCCTGCACCCGCATGGGAGATCAGGAGAAGCATCTGGCTCCTGGTGCGCCGGCCGCGGCGGCCATTGGAGGGTGAACCAACAGCAAAAAGGAAGACCTTTCTCTCTGTCTCTCTCTCTCTCACTTTCCACTCTGCCTGTTTAAAAAAAAAAAAAAAGTTGCGTTATAATTATGTCTAAGTGCTGGCAAAAGATGTATCATTCTTGGGTGCTTGTTTAAAGTTAATTCAGTTTCTTAAAAAAAAAGAAGTGAAATTAACTTTGAGATGCTATGACTTTGAACAGCCCTTGTTGTTTAGACTGTTGAGGAACAGTTTCTTATTTTTATTTTCCTTGCAAATTGTTGAACTCTTTACTTAGTTTAGAGTTGATCTTCTGTATATAAAATTAATTGAAAATGGACCTTACTGGAGAATGGGACTGGGAATGGGAGAGCAAGGAGGTGGAGGGGTGGGACTATGGGTGGGAGGGCATGTTAGTAAAATGGTGCAGTCCCGACACCATCCTAGGCTCTAGCCCCTGCCGCCATGGTGGAAACCAGGTAGACACGTGGCCCAACCACCAGTGTCAGCCCTATCCCCATCCTAATGGGGTTCGCTGCTCCTACTTCTCTCCCTGCACCCACCCCGCAAAGTTTTAAAAGGACTTGTTCCTGAACATGTGGCTCTCTTTCTCTCCGTCTCCTGATCTCTGTCTCTCTTTGTCTCAAGATCTCTCTCTTATGCTCTCCTTCTCTCTCTTTTCCTTCTTAGCCCCTTCCCTCCAGTCTTTCAGGTTTCTCCCAATAAACCCTTTCCCTTACTCCAGTGTTTGGTGTGACTTTTGGTGGCCTTACAGGGCAGGTATGGTGGGAAGAATCACTAAATTCCCAAAGTTGTACTTATGAAATACATGAAGTTTGTATTCTGTAAATAAAAAGTTTCTTTGGGAAAAAAACAACAAATAAATAAAGTGGTCAGTATCAAATTTCCTGATATGAATCTGTGATAACCTAAG